TATCCACTGGAGCACCTTACCTTTGACTCCTGCCTGTTGCTCCAACTTTTTTAACAGCCTTTTATGGGGTACTGTGTCAAAGGCTTTTTGGCAATCCAGGAAAATGCAGTCGGCCCACCCTTCTCTTTCCTACCTAATTTTCGTTGCCTGGTCATAAAATTCTATTAAACCTGTGAGGCACGATTTACCATCTCTGAACCCATGTTGGTGGTGCGTTACAAAGTTATTTCCCTCCAGATGCTCAACGAGCCTTTCCCTCACGATCTTCTCCAGCACCTTGCATGGTATACAAGTTAAGGAAACTGGCCTGTAATTCAGTGCCTCTTGCCTGTCACCCTTTTTGTATACTGGGACCACGTTAGCTGTCTTCCAACTTTCTGGTAAGTCTCCTGTTTCCAGTGACCTGTTATACACCATAGAGAGTGGCACACTTAGTGCTTCTGCACCTTCCTTTAGTATCCATGGTGAGATTCTATCAGGCCCAACAGCCTTTGTCACATCCAACTCCAGCAGACACCTTTTGACCTCATCACTGGTGAGGTCAAATTCCTCCAAGGTTGCTTGATTTGCCGCCTCCTCATTTAGTGCAGGGGCTTCTCCTTGTTCTATTGTGAAGACCTCCTGGAATCTCTTGTTGAGTTCTTCACACACCTCCTTGTCATTCTGTGTGTGTGTGTGTGTGTGTGTGTGTGTGTGTGTGTGTGTGTGTGTGTGTGTGTGTGTGTGTGTGTGTGTGTGTGTGTGTGTGTGTGTGTGTGTGTGTGTGTGGTTTGTGTGTGTGTGTGTGTGGGAGGGGGTATCCACCCCTCACCTCCCAAACATTCCTCTGACCGCTCCTCCCTTAATCACCCACCGACCATACCCTTCTACCTGCAGATAGCAATCAGTTTCAATCACCAAATTACCTCCCAACCATTCACCCCCCCCCCAACACACACACACTCCCCTTAGCCCTCCCTTCTCCCCCATTCCCCTAAGTATTTGCTACCTTTAGATGTATGATGCTTGCTTGGTTGTAGAGAATTCACAGTAGTTCACTTCAACAGTTTATTGGGTAAAGGCAACAAGATATATATATGTGGCCTGCTTAGGCCCTACCTAACTCTTGTCTCTCGACATACTGACCCTGCCTCCAGAGCGGCCAGTATCAGCTCTGTAGGGAATGACGTCAGAGGCCTACTCGACTGTGATTGGGTATATCCCAACCGTTATACAATTTGAATATTACACCGCTTGGACACACTACCAAGTCGACGTCCCTTGTCGATAAGCTATGGCTAGCTAGATAGTTACAATGATATTGAAAGGACCTCAGTGGCATTCAGTAATGTGTTACATGTGAAATTGCATTTTAAACATTAAAAAAGAAGATCAGGTGTGTAGAATACTAACACCGCTCAGCATGTGCACAAAAATTAGAACACAATACGTGAAAATCATGGTGACAATGCTTTAATTAAACAAAAGCATTAAGAACATATACAAGTCTAAGTATCAGATATGAACAATACAACTCAAGGTATTGCCTAAAACAAAATTATTAGCATGTGTTAATTGGCATGTGCTTGGAACAATAATTTAAGACAATTATCTGTTTTAATAGAACAAAAGTCCTGACCTAACAACCACAAAGGAATTTTAAGATTAGATAATGGAGAATTTTTTTTATGTAAAATATATTTACAAGCTATATAGAAGGACTGGATCGAGAAGGCTAACATCTTAGTAATAACAGTCAGGAATCACTGGCCTCAGTGTGGTTGCTAGAACATTAATGGAACTCTTGATGACATGCACTCTAAAAACACATATGGCACAGTAGACGTAACACTGGCATCTGATTTATGACACAAAATAAAGTTAAAAAAAACTTCTTCATTATACGTATATATAATGTTAATAATAGGACACATGGGTTAGAAATACTGTGAAGTGAATTTTGCCAAACAAAAAAAGAAAACTGCAGAATGCACTTAATTATAAATTCTGCAAATATCTATGCCTAGATCGTCCAGAGCACTATACAACTCTGGCTCTTACTGAAGGTTAGGAACAGATAAAACTGCATGTGACAAACTTTCATCTTGAGATAAACTCGTTGAAATCTATCCAATAGACATGTGGTGAGTGCACGGTTGAAATGTAAGGTCTAGATCTAAGATTATAGGTACAGTCATCGGGTGGCAGTACATCAAGTGGTCGGTCAACCACAGTAGGTGGTGTCCCAATAGAATAATTTGTCTGGGTAAGTTCATTGTCATCCTCATCAGTCTCGTCAACAGTCATTTTAGCTAACTTTTGGGATCTAAATGTTCATTTATATACTCTCCTGTTAACAAATTCTTAAATCCGTACTTGTTACCTTTAATTATCTTATTAAGGCTCGATTACCTCATATAGACCCCAAAATTTCTTAGTTAGTTTGTACATAGGGCTAGATCCGTGTTAATTAAGTACCATTACTAAAAATCTGACAGTTATCTTACTGGGCTTAGCTCGTGCATTCCTTGCTCGAGTGAACTCGGCTGTTGCCATGGACAGTTGTTCTAATATTTTCTTCAAAACTAGTTGCATTTGTCTACACTTTACTTGAACAAAATCATCTGTTATTCAAAGGAGTAGGGGGTACATTATTTAATTCATTAGGGAGGATCTTATCTGTACCATAGAGAAAAGGATGAGGAGTGTCACCTGTAGAAACATTAATTGAAGATTTAAGTGCACACCGAATTAAAGGTATGAACTCATCCCAATTGCTGTTATCAAAATTCAACCCGACTCTCAAGGCATCTAACACTTTCCTGTTAGTACACTCAGCTAACCCATTACTTCTTGGGTGATATGGCATAATACTGCATTTTTAATGTTATATAAATTGCACAATCTAGTTAAAATACTATTACTGAATTCTGGACCATTATCTGATAGAATTTCTTTAGGCATACTATATCTACAAATTATTTGGTCATGGAATGCACTGGCTATAGTTTCTGCTGGTTTATTCGGGACTGGGTACACATGAATTGGATTAGGTCCTGCTACATGTCTGTTGGAGTTTGGTGAGGTGGCCTCCAAGAGAAGATCTTGAACTGAATAGATGTTACTGTGCTGCGGTGGAGCTCCTACTAAGATTTCCTCGCCTGAGGAGTCTGTAACATCCGTGGTTGGTGATTTCGTCTTTCGTCTCGCAGCCTGAGGTAGGTTCAGGTGTTGTGGATTAGTGGTAGAAGCTATTTCAGGAGCGCTGGTGGTGCTGTTAGTATTTGTAGACAGCACATCTGCTAGTGCATCTGCTGAGATGGTGATGGTAGAAGTGTTGGGAGCTGGAGAGGCAAATACCTCTGTTTGTGCCACCCGGGTCTTGGGTGGTTCTGGAGGCTGTGTTGAGATTGACCACGTGGTCGTCATGGTGGTAGTGGAGGCAGTACGACTCTCGTCCTGGGCGATGATGGGGTGCATGCCATTGGCTAGGTATACTGCGCTGAGTTCCTCGACGAATCCTTGATTGTCTGATCCGGTAAGCCTCTCTGCTAGTCGAATGAGACCAGGGATAATACCTGCACGTGATGCAAGGGACTGTGAGGGTGCTGGTTAGACCTTAGATCCCCAGTGTGGAGGCCGGGTGATCTGTTGGGAGGAGCCATTGTTTGGTTGGGGTGGTACGGTCGTAGTCTGCATCTGGCTTACGGAAGGGAGACTCGGGAAATGGTCAGGTCCAAGGTCTAAGGTCGTGGCGACTTGCCTCTGGGTGGTCGGCGGCGTGGTGTTCATCTCTTTAATCTTCTTTAGTTCCTCCTTCCTTTATGTGCAGCGGTAGGAGTTGGCGGTGTACTGTTCTCCACAGTTCGCTTATTTCTTGGTGGTGGCGGTACAGTCCTTGTAGTTGTGAATGCCGGAGCATGAGCTGCACTTAGCCATTTGTTCTGGGCATTTGTTGAAGAAGTGTTCATAGCTGAAGCACTCGTAGCACTGCCTCACGTTGTAGACCTTCTCCATGTCGATTTCTTTTGGGGAGGAGGTGAGTCCAAAGCACTTAATCCCATTTTTCACTGCTTCCTGGGCCTGTTCTACTGTTTTGAAAGTCATCTTCATTGTGGGTCGAATGGTGTCCTTAATCTTGATGAGTAGAACTATCGTCGCTTTCAGAGTAGGGTTTTCTTCGTTCATTTGCCGCACTATGGTGTCGGATACCTGACCTGCTAACCAGCGGTTCAGCCTGTTCACAAATATCCTTTTCCCGGGAGTGAGTTGTCTGGGAAGAATCGGTAAGAGGTTCGCCTCCAGTAGTGGGACCCAGCGTTCCGGATCTTCTGTAGGTCCGCTTTTGTTGCCACGGTTACCGTGGCCTCACACCACGCATATGGACGTCTACTGGTCCCACTGATGTTGCCTTATCAATGGCTTCTGCCATTTCGCGCTCAGAGCGCTTGAAGACTCCGAGGAGTCGCACTTTCACTTTGAATGTCAGGTTCTCTGGCATGGCTCGGATTGTCAGAACCTGGAGTGAAGAGATGTTTGCCGGCAGGTTTGTAGGAACACGGCTTGCCAGCAGGAGAGGTGTGGAGTATTTATCACTGTCTAGACTATGGGGATTCAGTTTTGTGGTGTGGGTGAGGCGTGGGTCTGCTGCTAGAAGGTGTAGGTGAGGCCTGGGTCTGCTGCTGGATGGTGTGGGTGAGGCCTGGGTCTGCTGCTGGATGGTATGGGTAAGGCGTGGGTCTGCTGCTAGAAGGTGTAGGTGAGGCCTGGGTCTGCTGCTGGATGGTGTGTGTGAGGCGTGGGTCTGCTGCTGGATGGTGTGGGTGAGGCGTGGGTCTGCTGCTGGATGGTGTGGGTGAGGCGTGGGTCTGCTGCTGGATGGTGTGGGTGAGGCGTGGGTCTGCTGCTGGATGGTGTGGGTGAGGCGTGGGTCTGCTGCTGGATGGTGTGGGTGAGGCGTGGGTCTGCTGCTGGATGGTGTGGGTGAGGCGTGGGTCTGCTGCTGGATGGTGTGGGTGAGGCGTGGGTCTGCTGCTGGATGGTGTGGGTGAGGCGTGGGTCTGCTGCTGGATGGTGTGGTGAGGCGTGGGTCTGCTGCTGGATGGTGTGGGTGAGGCGTGGGTCTGCTGCTGGATGGTGTGGGCTACTGCTCGATGCTCTCCATTTTCCAGACCTTAACGTAGTCGACCTTAAGAGCTGCCTCCTCGCTGATGCTCCACTCACCGTGCTTCCAGCTGGGCAGCCACGACTCACGCTGAGGAGGGAGAGTAAGGTGTCACAGTTAACAGTACCAAGCAGGTGGAAAATGATGGTAGTGTTGCTACTGTGTAGGGTGAGTGTGTCACAGTTAACAGTACTAAGCAGGTGGATAACGTGAGAGTTGGCAGTGTTGCTACTGTGTTGGGTGAGTATAAGGTGTCACAGTTGCTACTGTGTAGGATAAGTGTAAGGTGTCACAGTTGCGTTTGTGTAGGAAGAGTATAAGGTGTCACAGTTGCTACTGTGTAGGAGGAGTGTAAGGTGTCACTGGTACTACTGTGTAGGAGTACACGGTGAGAGGTAAAGGTGACGAATAATTAACATGAGTATCAAGCTGGTGGATAATGTGAGAGTTTGTAATGGACTGATGTCATAAAGAGTTGCGGTTGAAGATCTGACAAGATAATGCCAGAAGCTCGCACTGACTTGGAATACCAAGACATTTGCTGCCTCACACACCATTTGTACTGAAACACTGTCGGGCAATGCTTACTTTTTTCATAATTAAAATTATATTAATAAACAATGTTTATATTTTACTAATTATTTAATTTATTTTCAAAGAGAAGCAAATCTTTCATATTGTTGTGGATCTGTTATCCTAAAGCACTATTAATTCTCGGCTGGTCCCATAATCCAGGATACACTGTGTAGACAAGATACATGTCTCTCTGTACTCCATAGGTATGAGGATAGTAGATTAAGGCCACCAGGAAAAGTTTAACAATTAATTTGTATACAATTATCTTTTAAAGTGAAAAGAACTGAGGAGGTATTTTTTATAGATATGGTGCCAGGTTAAAACTTTAGGAACGAATGTGTAGCATTGAACCAGCAATTTATTAATTAGATAGCTAATTCCCACTAATTACTTTGTCTGGGTAGATGATAATCTGTTAGAGGCACACTTAATTAATACTAAGACACACTAAATCTAACTAATGAGACAAGATACGTAATGCTTTAAAACACTTTTCGAATACTTGGTCCTTTTACAATAACTCGACTAAAGGACAATAGGATACTTAGTGCAATTACAGCTGAACGAGCAGTCGCACAACCAGCCCTCAAGGCGTCCAGAGTCCAACTGACATATTACGTCTAGGCAAAAAAAAAATGTCTCGCCTCTTCACTTAGTTTGCTACTACATATACATAACATTATCAGGAAGAAAAGTTTATTCAACCTACTTCAGTATATTCAACCCACCCACTCGAATATTGCATCTCATTTTGACATATAAATCCCCTAAGGCCAAAAAATGGTGTACTAAAAATCATAGTAGCTCACAAAATTTACATGCTATCCTGTTTTCTATTCGTGTGCCCTCGGTAAGGGTAGGTTCAGGAAGTTAAGTACATAATTTTAGTGAGGCGAACGAACGAGAGGGAGAGCTTGTACATTACTGAGTGACAATCCATTACCTACAACACTAATGAATATTAATACATCAAATCACTGTTTGGTAAAGCAAAGAATGAGTATGTATTTTGTTCCTTTAAATTTAGCCGGAAATGTGGCATTTGTGTCTGGAACATATTGTCTCTGCCGGCTTTAAGCTCAACAGATATGGGTTTAACACTCATAATCTTCGCACACAATTAGTTATCTAATTTTTTGCTTAAATTATGTAGTTTCATGTGCCTGTTAATAATACAAATCGAAAAAATTAGATCATTTACGCACATTAATACATTACAAGACAGAATATATTTAAGACTTTATGTTCTTTTTACGCATAAGCAAATTTACCTAGGCCTACACATAACTTTCATAAGACATTTCCAATTTTGTTCTGGAATTTCAGTATGGAATTAAGTATAAATTAGAATTAAAGTAAATCAATTGCTTTCTATATGCAAATTCAACAAGAATAAAACGCCTACTAGTCATTTGCATATGTTAACGTTTTCTTAAATTTTAATATACGGAAAATTTATTTAACTGATAAAGAAAAATTAGAAAGAAAGAATTTAACTTAGAAAGAAAACTTATTTTAGAAAAAAACTTAGCTTACTACATTTGCATGCTTTACTTGCCTTATATGAGAATTTCAGCATCTAAATGATCCTAGTCTATTTCTAACTAGCTGTATCCGGCAACGTGTTGCTGCGCTCAGCAACGCATAGGCGTTGCTGAGTCACAGCAACCTTCCCTGTGACCTAGTCTTCCCCACCATTCCCCCCTCACCCGTCTTCTCGACCTCCCAACCATTCCCCACTTCACCGTCCCCTCGTCCTCCCCACCATTCCCCACTCCACCATCCCCTCCTCCTTCACACCATGCCCAACTCCCCTGTTCCTTTGACCTCCACACCATTCTCCATTCCCCCATCCTCTCATCCCCACCATCCCAAACTCTCTCATCCCCTCGTCCTTCTCCACCATTACCCCCTCCCTTGTCCCCTCGTTTCCCTACCATCTCTCACTTTCGTCCCCTCATCATCCCCACCATTCCCCACTCCTTCATCTGATGCCTTCCCAAATGGTCTGATGTTCCCATCAGAAAATTGGGAACATCAAGTGATCTGATGTTCCAATCACTGAAATATAAGAAAAACACTTAAAAAATTAAATGAAAATAATAAAAAATAAAATATAAACTATACTCACGAAATGAATGTTATGGTGAACAACACAGCTCAATTCCAATGCAATTCACACAAAATAATTAAATGAAAATGAAAATGAATCAAAATCTATGAAAATTAAATTTATCAATGCAATCAGAAACACTGAAATGGAATTGTAACATATTTAGTATAGCATGTGTGTTGCTCTTACATGCAACAGATGGCGCTGTTTTTCATGAAAAGCATAGTTTTACCTGTCACAGGTGTGGCATCTCTACTTATACCTACGAAATGAACGGTATGTAAACAACGCAGCTCAATTCCAACACAATGTCACAAAAAATAATTCAATAAAAAAATAAAATAAATCGAAATCTATGAAAATACAATTTATCAATGCAATTGAAAACATTGAAATAGATTTCGTGACACATTTAGTATAGTGATGTGCAACGAATGCAACGTTGTGCCAAAATTTCAAAGCAAACTGTGAAGAACTATCGGAGATTACAGCATGTGTTGCTCTTACATCCAACAGATGACGCTGTTTTTAACAAAAACAAAAAACAACTTTTCCTCTCACAGGTGAGGCATGTATATAGTAGATATATAAAAGAACGTGCCTATTCGAATGCATCGTACGTTGTGTCAAAATTCCAAAGCAATCGGTAAAGAGTTTCCCTCACTTGAAGATTTCCCTCACTTTCTCACCAAGATTTCTCCTACGCGAAAAACACATGAAAAACAGGTTTTCAGAAAAAGCATGATTTTTTTTACCTTCACAGACGTGACATCTATATAGCATGTTTATAAAAACATGCTCGGATGCGAATGGAACGTCGTGTGAAAATTTCAAAGCAATCGGTGAAGAACTTTTGGAGATTAGCGGTTATGCACAAACGAACATTTCCATTTTTATTTATATAGATTAATATAGATTATGAACAGCTTAGTTCATAACACATGTGTAATGTATTGACATAATAATTGATAATCAAAGACAGAAGCAAATTATAGTGAAGACTTACAGCGTTCCAGAAGTCACGAGGTGCGTGAGGGGAGGCGTTGCTCCAGGGCTTGGCCGGGTTGCTGGCCACCCCGTCAGGGAAGTAGCCATTTGTGCCGCCCACAGCCAAGTTTAGGATGATGTAGAACTGTCGACACGTTCACATAATTAGAACATAAACTGTATGCGTTAAAAATTCTTATTTAAAAATGTTAAGTGTTGAAGAAGCTTACCAGTAGATGTCACCTACTCAACAGTGGAAATAACATTTGCGACAGAAAAAGATTACCATATATTACTCTAAACAGACACACAGTTTTTTGTAAGGTATCTCTAGTCTAAAATGCCATTTTACAATTAACACCAGGACTTTGATAGATGATAATTCTAGATAGACTCTGATAATTCTAGATAGAACGATTAAAATATTTTGAACATAAAATAAAAAATTATGAAACTGCAATATTAAATCACAGGGAGTTAATTCATTGAGAAATAAACTGATGCAAGAAAACGAACATAATTAAAAATTTTAATTAATTGGTAAGCAGATAATTCTAGAGAAAATTAACAGCTATAATATAAGTAATTATCTTTCCAAAGAAAACGGGAAATATTTAGCAATATTATGCATCATTTATCAAATAACAAGAGACCAGGTAATAACAAGGAATTAACTTAGCATCAAATGGGATATTGTAATGACTTTCAACGAATGTGCTTCCATATTCAGCTATAAAATAATTCTATAATTTTCAAAGAAATTGAGGGATGTAAGTGAAATTTAACGGGATATTGATGTATTTTAAGAAGCATTTTTATAAAATTTTGGCCTCTAAATTTTTCTTTCATGACAATCATGCAATGACAAACATATATAATTTCCCAGATAAACATGGAGTATATATTATATAACAA